TACTACTTTTTGCTTCTGTATTTGATTTTTAGTTCTTCCAATTCTGTAGCAATCCATTTTTAGTTTGCAATATTGGAACTGTTTGGATGCAGAGGGTTATGAGTGGGAAAAAAATTAGTTAGGATAATATGTTTATACCTAGCTAACAACATAATCAAAAGCGTTAATTATTATTTGAGCCATGCGTCCAAATATATTTTATATTTTAACCGTAGAATTTGTTTTTCTGATGCGGGACTTAAAGCTCATTTTTGTCGCACTGCCTGCAAGCCAGACTTGCATTTAACCTGACTGAATTCAAGACGCTGGCTCCTAACTTAGCTTCCGTGAGTTCACACTGGGAATTTGATGTATTTCTGAAGGAAATCAGTGTGAGTGAATGTTAGAGAATTTAGAATCTCAAGAATCATATATATTGCTGTTAAAAATTAGTGTTAAATGTAATTTCACGGTAGTTGTGCATGTTTGATTGACCCATTTCCAACAATTAAACATGAATATCTCCTAGTTAGAGCTTTTTTATTTATTTATTTTTAAATTTTTATTTTGTGCGGTATGTGCAGACTGGCAGCTATTGTGGTTCTCTCTGCAGTCCAAAGTACAAACAGATTAATAGAACCTAGAAAAAAAAATTGCTATCAGCACCTTGCTTGCCTTGGCTTGGCTTGACTAGGGTTTCTCTATTATTTGTCATATGTATTCACCAGAGAGTGTGCAAGTGTGAACTCCAAAAATGTGCACGTGTATGGTTGTGCACATTTAAGAAAACAAGTGCAATATGTCCGTCTAAAGTGTTGTTGACCATAAAACTGTCAAATTTCCGAAGTGCTGACGGTTGAGAGCTATAATCTTATAGTTCAAAAATCTCCGGTCGGCCGAGCGGTAGAGCGGTAGATGCCCTTTTTATAGGATACCGCATCAAATGTCCCCTCTAATATACCGGAACTCTGAAGATATGGTGAGAATTGAGGATGATAAATGGATAATTTTCTTAAGATCAATTATACAAACTTAACCCTATATATTCTTCTACACTGATGGTGTCTTATACTTGTTGTCTGTGGAGTGTGATTAGCTTGTATGCATATATCCTTGTATTTTCAAAAAATTAACATATTTCATTGTGCTTATTCGTTTCACTTTAACAAAACTAGAATTGGGATAATTGTACAAAATTATCCCACTTTTTTTATTTTTCTATACAAAAATGAGAGTTCTAGTCTCTCAAATTATTCCAAGTTTTAGCTTGGAACTATGTGGTAAAAAACTAGAACTCGTATTTATTTTGTTATTTTTTATTTTTTTTCTTTACTTATTTCCTATTATGGTTATCACCATCATTAGACCATCATCATAATAATAATTGTCAATATCTTATAGTCTAACCAAAAGTTATTTAATAGTAACGAACATTCTTGTAAGCAATTATCAATTAATAATAGTAAGTTTAAAATACATAAATAGTATTTATATCTTCAAAATGCATAAATATATACTTCATGATTATAAAAATTTATCCCACGTCATTTTATCAAAATATCCTGCTTCACAAAATTGTTCCTAGTTATCCCACTAAAATATCCCACTAGCGAAATATTATTCCACTTTAACAATTATCCCATTTTGCATGAAAATGTCCCAATTGACTAACACCCCCTAAAGCTAGGAATGAAAAAAAAAATGACATATTGCACGCACTTAATAATTTCATAGTTTTCGATTTCAATGCATTGGGAGGGAATGAAATTGAAGTTTCACAAACCATAAAAATACCTAGAGCATGTATATAGCTAGTTTCAACAATCTTTGTTCTCCTCTATTTGGTAACAAACCATACAATTTCCAAGCACTTAAAAATGTAACAAAATTTATTCACATCAAATTTAAGACATTTATTGGGAGAACAGGTTGTAAGTTGTGAAATATATATTCATCTAGGATGCATCTGAAATAAAAATACGAACGAGTATTAATATTTACTTCAACATTTTCTTTGCAGATTAAACATCCTTCATTTTGTGAGAAAATTTTTGTAGTCTTTTTGCTGGCTGGCCCAAAGAGAAAAATGTTCACTAGCAAGTCCGGTGAAATTTGGTGACATGTCTTAATCTGTCAATATAAATCCGATTTAAGATATAAAGTTAAATAATATAAATAAATACATGAAGACTATTGTTCATTACCACATTTCATATCATACAATACTGTTAATTGGATTTGGGTCCAGTTCACCCTCATAAGATGAATGGATCCAAAATTATCCTTAGTCATGATTTGACATGCAAAAACCGACAAATTCTTTAAGCCATCCAAAAAAGAATAAAAAATTAAAAGGGTCTGACCCACTTTCATATACATATTACACAAAATATAGAAAATATTATATCATAACATCTATTTTTCAGGGTCAATTTAATTCCCAACATTTTCAGATCTATAATTGGGCCTCAAATTTTGATGAGACTTAGCTCTTAAGGCTTTGTTTTGAAAATTCTCAAAGCTAAGCTAGGATTGTTTCTAATTTACTTTTGAATTAAATTAGTTTAGTGTTTATTCAGAGAGGTGGACGAAAATAGAATCAATTTGAAATGTTTTTTTGGTCAAGAAAAAACCGGGTCAAAACTAATCCAATTTTCCCCAAAAAGAGTCTTCTTTGATCCTAGTTCTATTTTTGGAGATGTTAAACAGGCCCTAAAATTTTACATCTT